GGTGTGTNAAGGGGGGGGGGGGGGGCTAATGGAGGGGCTGCCCCGTCTTCCGTGGTAACCCAAACAAAGTAAGTCATGCTACTCTGGGCAGTCTAGGCCTTGTACGGTGGAGGGGCAACACGAACGACAAAAGAGCTCTTCCGGCCAAGTCGTTTGGATGCAGTGCCTAGTCTTGACCGGTAATTATTAGAGGGGAAAGGTGTTGACGGGGTGACAAAGCAAAAGAAAATCGAGCTTCGAGCTTGGGTGACCCCCATTGATTCGGGCTCGATGGCAAGGCACATAGTCGATCCTCGCTGTAGCAGCAGAACAGCATTGGACACTCCAGGAGCTGCTGCAGTTCGAGCCTCGTGTCTCTTGGATTCCAGAAGCGGACGAGGGATGCTGTGTTCGACGATATGTACAAGGTCGTCAAATTGGAATTGTCTGGTGGGGCAGACTATGCACTTTGGATGATGAGCTGCGGTTGGAAGACTTCGGGAAGCCAGCCGTTGAAAGGCGTTCGGTTTTGAAAGACTCAGGGCTGAACGAATGCCCAGACATAGCAAGGATCGTGAGGATCGTTGTTTTGAAGGGAGACCTGTCCGAGCAAATCAGGAGCCGTCCCATCTGACGAAACGGAGTTGTGACCCGGAAAGTCGAGGAGAACGGCAATGAGGTGAAAGTGACAAGGGAGACCTCGACACATTGCTGAAACATTTATTCTTAAGTTCTCCAGGTCCAGGTCTTAGTTCAGGCGCCGTTGGCCCCGAGATAGGTGTAAACCGAAAGTTACCAAAGATATGGGTTCAGACATAGTGGCGCCTAGTTGTTGGTTTTGTGTGTGTGATATATTGCTATGTCTCGTCATGGCGATAGCCCAAAGCGACCAACCACCACTTCAAGGGATAAAAGGTCGGAGTTTCCATGCTCTGATGTTGTTGTGATGGTCGAGTCTCTTCTCATCATATCGCAGACAAGTCCAAGATCTTAGCCGACTTGGACCTATCAGAATATCTTTCTCCTTGGCGGTGTGGCGATGGTGGTTCAAAGAAAGTCAGTCATGTTGACACTAGTCTGCATGGACAAGGTACCGAATTCTAGCAACCCGGTAATTTTGCCAAAGGGCTTCCTTTTTGACGGAAACTGGCATTCTTGAGTTACCAGAATCTCAGGTTTTGATATGCAGCTAAGCATCACCTATGACCGCAGAGGACTACCTAGATCCCCAAGATGCCCAAGATTCTCGACAGCCTGACTGAGGCTTTGCGCATTTGCTGCCGAGATCCCAGTCTCACTGATCTTGCGGATACACGTCGGCGGCTGAGTCGCTCGAATGTTTTGCTCGTTGTTGACTGGATATCCATTGCCTGTCGACCTGTCTTTATACTCCTTCGCTTCGAGCTGTTGTAATCATGCATACCGGGTGCTTGTGCCTGATCTAGGTAGGCCATGGAGCCAGGCTGCCCTGCCTATCTTTGCGTTTGCGGAACCTGATGCTGATGGTGGGGGGAAACGAGCAAAGAGGACAAAGCCGGAATGCCAGTGCAAAGTAACAACAAGGCGACCAAGAAGGCATTCCCGTCTTTGCTGTTACCGTGTACATACCAGGTAAGGTGTCACACTCACAGTCCACTATCTCTACACAGGGAGGGGGAAGTTGGAGGGTTGGGAGAGATGGAAGTTCCAGGCGACATCCACCAACGGGATCGCGAGCGGCTTTTAGGCGAGCCAATCCCAGGCCTAGACCTGCCAAGGAGGGTCCGGTGTTCGGGACTCTTGCTAACAGAAGTGCTCGCAGTTGCGGGGGAAGGCAGCGCAGCTCCTACCCAGTCGCGTTAGTGAGCAACATGGACCGACCTATCATCATACCTGCTTCCCCAGAGGCGAGTGCATGCAATTTTTCTCGAGCTAAGTTGGAAGGGCCGCTTCACTGCAACTGGAAAGGGCACGAGGGCTCGGCCAGGATTTGACGGAGATTCAGAGCGGGCGCGAAACCTACCTACCTGGCAACCTAGGTAGTACCAACTACCTACCATAACCTAGCTCACTCAATCTGAGCCTGTCCTTGTTTGGGTCCTTTCAGCCGTAGGTAGGTATGTTTTAGTTAAAGTTGAGGGTTGTTCTTGCCTGCCATCGCGTCGGATGTTTCGAGTTTTTTTCGTTCCATGTCACTGAGTGCTGTCCTGTTCATTCCATCGATGTGGATGAGAGCCCAGTCGGCGGAAAAGATCACAACTGCACCGAAACCCGACCCGACCGGACGCCTGTTGTGGTTGTAACGATAACCTGACTGGCAGGCACTGAGGTGACCTGACCTGGGCTTGAAAGAACGCGGACCTGAACCTGGACCTGCCTGCCTGCCTGCCTGCCTACCTCTACTGCTCTCCACTGCTAGTAGTCTGGAAGCTCTGTGCGTTTCATTAGTTGCGTTGCGTGCGTGTAAATCTTGCTGCTCCATCGGCCCAGTAGCCCAATCCCTTCTTTGCGTCCCCGTCCAGTCCAGTCGCCAGTCTTCTCTACCTACCTCTACCTAGCTCATTGCCCGGCCGGACCCCCCCCAGCCAGCGGGCAGCCCAAGTGGAAGCGTCTGCGCTCGTCCGTCTCCTCCCAAAACTCTCTAAGCAACCACCACCGACGTTGATTTTTTTCTCCCGACGCTTTCTATCCCAACCAAAACAGGGCGACGTCTTTAACCACAAAGAACGCGCATTTTCAACCCCACCCTGGCGATAAAAGTCCTATTATCATAGGCATCATCTCGCGGTATCTCGTCTTCTGGCCTCCGTCGCTCAATTAGACGCAGCTTTTTCCAGCGACCCTCCGACCGGCCCAGCGCTCTGCACTGCACCTCGCTGCAGCACTTTGCACTCTCCCGGGCAGTCCATCGACCAGTTTTTCCCGACCGTGGTTTTGGCAGTGGCAGTGACAGCCTCTCCCGCAGTCTCAGGACTACTTGAACTCCCCTTCTACATCCGACCTTTTCGACCCAGATTTTCGACGACGACACGGCGTTTTGCCCCAGCCCCGTCCGCGCGACAAAAAAAAAAAAAAAACCACGTTACCTCACAAAGGACGATCAGAGACTTCTGGACCCGTCTCCTTTCATCATTGCTAACCCTCTTGTCGCCGCGTACTACCGGACCGATTTCTTCGCAATTCCGACGACGCTGCGCTAGATTTGCTTGCGCTTGCTCTAGACCGTTCGCACCTTCGCCAAACCCAGTGACGATTTACTAAAACCAAAGCACAACATTCGGTATCCGAAAGAATACCTATCTCCAGAAAAAAAACACAAAAAAAAAAATCACCGCTTGCTGTATTCCCAAGGAGAACGCGTTCGCCTCTCCAAAAACCCCCAACAATCGCTTCTTGCTGGGATCGCTTCTGAGCGTAAGTTGATCAACTGCCGTTACATTGCGGCTTCCCAGTCTCTGCCCAGCCGTCGCTCCTCCTTCATTTTCCCGCCATCGCGATCGCGTGCGGCAAACCCCAATCAGAATTTGCGTCGTCATTGGCAATGTCTAACGTCTTGAATTAGTCGTTTAGCTTTGCAGAAGTGCATCTACCCAGTTTCCTACTCCTTACGCGTGCCGCTCTTTTAGACCTGTCCCATCCGACTAGCTGGGGTTTGTCGGTCGTTACCGTGACTTCGAAAACCTGTGCGCGGTATCTCTCCGGTTGGTGAGGATTTTGCAATGGCGGACCATACCGAAGTCGACCTCGACTCTATAATCGACCGCCTCTTGGAGGTGCGGGGCAGCCGGCCTGGTAAGCAGGTGCAGCTGCTGGAAGCCGAGATTCGCTATCTCTGCACCAAGGCCCGTGAAATCTTCATTTCCCAGCCCATCCTGCTTGAGCTCGAGGCTCCTATCAAGGTAAGCATTGTGTTCTTTCTATTATCCCTTTATTCAGCCTCGGCATGCGCCATACTGCCCCTTCGGCAGTGTTCATAGCTGACGTCGTGCCCCACCTCCCTAGATTTGCGGCGATATCCACGGTCAATACTATGATCTCCTCCGCCTCTTCGAGTACGGTGGCTTCCCTCCTGAGGCCAACTACCTCTTCCTAGGTGACTACGTCGATCGTGGCAAGCAGTCCCTGGAGACCATCTGCCTGCTCCTCGCCTACAAGATCAAGTACCCCGAGAACTTCTTCATCCTTCGTGGCAACCACGAGTGCGCGTCCATCAACCGTATCTATGGTTTCTACGACGAGTGCAAGCGGAGGTACAACATCAAGCTTTGGAAGACCTTCACCGACTGCTTCAACTGCCTACCGATCGCTGCCATTATCGACGAGAAGATTTTCACTATGCACGGTGGTTTGAGCCCGGATCTTAACTCAATGGAGCAGATCCGCCGAGTCATGCGACCAACTGACGTACGTTACACCATTCATGCCCGGGCTTTCCGTTTGCTCAGGCTAGTTGCCGTAACATGAGACACTAACAATAGCGCCAGATTCCTGACTGCGGTCTTCTTTGCGATCTCCTGTGGTCGGATCCCGATAAGGACATTACTGGCTGGAGCGAAAACGATCGTGGTGTTTCCTTCACATTCGGTCCGGATGTCGTTTCTCGCTTCCTCCAAAAACACGACATGGATTTGATCTGCCGTGCTCACCAGGTTGTTGAGGACGGATATGAGTTCTTCTCGAAGCGCCAGCTCGTTACTTTGTTTAGTGCCCCCAACTACTGCGGCGAATTCGACAACGCTGGTGCTATGATGAGCGTCGACGAAAGTTTGCTCTGCTCTTTCCAGGTATGTTTTCTGACTTTGGCAAGCTCCGAGACCCTTGCACTCTTGCTAACCCCCTTTGCAGATTCTCAAGCCCGCAGAGAAGAAACAGAAGTACGTTCCCAGTCTCAGATGAAGCAATTCAAGACCCCCGAGAAGCACAAGTAAAGAATTTTCTTACGAACAAACCCATTTTCCTTTAGGTTCGGCCGCCGATAAACGTCTGATACTTTCGCCCGCCCGCAACGAACATGAGTATCTTACCGTCAGCTTGTCTACCGCCGCCGTGTTTCTTGATCGCCAGGGCTCCCAGCCATCATCCCGTCTGCCGTCTGTTCCGACCACTTCTTTTGGGGAGGTCCTCGCCCCTCTTGCCGCGCCAACGAAACGAAAGCCACGTCTGCCCGTCCTGTCTCTCCATCCGTCCGGTATCCACACAACTCGAGAGGGTAGGAAGGAAAGGGAATCTTTTTATATCTCGGGGGATGAATAACGAACGACCTTTTCTTTTTCTTGTCTGGTCACTACTCCTGCTAGGAAAGGTATAGATAAGCAGTGTGTGTCTTGGGGGGAAACTAGTTGTTTTGTGTCGCTTTTCGCCAAAGGCATATGTCATTCCGTCATGGGAGAGTGTATTGAAAATTTGTCCGTTTACATCCGCTCCAGCACTTTCTGACTACGGCATGCTGTGTTTCGCCACTCCGCTAGTTTCCATCTACGGCTCAGTTTCGAAAGGTATATACGTTGCAACAGCATCATAACACATCTCCGGTTTAATCTACCAGCTCATCGGCCCAGTCAAACAACACTTCCGCCTTACCTTTCTACGGCTCTCACAACCTAGGCTCTTGTAGTTAAGATGATCAAAATGGCCAGGGCACCATCGCAGAGGTAAAGCCACGAACCTTGCAAACGGATGAGACGGAACGCCTTGGTGATACCAGAGAAGAAACGGATGGGATGAAAGGCGGTGGTTTTCTGCGCTCAGGCCCGATTCTGCCACGCTGGATGGATAGAAAAGCAGGAGAGAGGCGTCGGGCAGGACAGGACAAGGAGAAGAAGCACGATATCGCGTCCTAGGTTATGAAAATGAAGATGATAGAACGTCTTGGCAGGCTCGATTTTTTCTTGTTTTTGGGGGAAAGGGGAGGGGGACGGTTGCTACTGGGTGATTATGAGGCGAAAACCATGCTGTATTCGAGAAAGAGGAGGCAAGCGTGCCGGCGGTAAGGAGTGCGCGGGGCATTGACCGATGGGTTGATCAATCAGGCTCATCGTGAAAACGTGAACTGGCGGTGGCATACGGTGACTGAGAGGCAAGAGTGATACTGAGATACAGGTTGTCGTCGTGTTGTGTTTGGAATTCCTGTATGTTTACCAGCATAATTATACATTACGATTGAGCGGGATAGAATGTGGTTCTCGAAGTCAAGTGAGTCGTCTAGCAATGCGTATATTACGTTGAAGATACGATGAGTGGGACGAACAATGAGAGGGGGTATCGTAGCCCTATTTGTCAAGTATGTGGAAAAGCCGGACGGAGAGGGATGACAGAGAAGGGGCCTGGAGTCTTCAGCCGGGGGCTGGGGGTTGAGCAAGGGGCAGGTATCTTTGATGTACATGTGAACGTATCCTCAATATTTTGTTTTGTTACTTATTGCTAAAGTTTCTTTTCGTTTTAGGTCTTTCTTTCACTTTGTGCTCCCTTCGTTCCGTGAGCTTTGTTTTTGTCGTGTATCTTGCGTTAGATAATGGGAAATATGAAGTCAAGCAGCACTGGTTATACTCTTGTGTTCATGAGCTCTCACAAGGCTTACTGCCAACAAACATTGCCTCATAGTGTTTTTTCCGCGACACCTTGCTGTAATACATTTCCCTCCATAACTTCGTAGTCTCCGAGTGTCAATACGAGCACGTTGATGATCACACTTGAATGATAGGATATTCACAGCAATCCGAATTCTGAAGGGGAAGAGTGATGGTGAATCGATCTCATTAGTACCTACTTCATCTTCCCTTTCCATAGTGCGTTGTGAACTTCGCGTGTTTACTTGCCTTGGGGCATCTACCTTAAAATATCTGGAAACTGACTATCAGGAAAAGCTCACCCATTTTCTGCTTCTTTTCTACATCTGACATCTTTGACTTCACCCGCTCCACGTTTTCCAGAAAGCAAATTCCTCGAAAGGTATATGATCTAGACCCGTACCTGGTTCATCTACCCTGTTTTAGGCATGATACTTGTATGTCAAAGGATCATCAGCTGTTTTCGAATCCCCCATACGTCGATTTGTTTCCTCCTAGGCTCATGTTCTCGGCGTTCCCCATGGCTTCACTCGTCACCAGGCTTCTCAAAGACCGCAGCCCTGTTCTATACTCACAGTGAAGCGTCATCACTTATATCTACGCAGTATAACTCACAACCAATCTGAGTTGACTTCGACAATTTATTACGCATTCAAATCGAGCCTATGGAAGAAGGGCGAAGCAATAGCGCTTGTGCTTATGCACAGAGAGAGAGAGAGAGCGCGAATATCCCAACCCGACTAGTTATCTAACCTTCGAAACCACAACCCATAACCATTTAACCAGATATCCCTCCTTTCTCCAATATCCCACCCATCATCCATCCCCTAATTCACTGTCCACCCTCCAAGTCCTTATAAGTCTCCTCAGCCATCCAGCTATAATCAGCCGTCTTCTTTTCTCCGCTACCTCCCCTCGTATCAGTTCCAGTTCCTTCCCCCGTCGTCTTACTCTGCTCTCCGCTTTGCCTCCCACTCCCACCAGCATGCCCTCCTTCAAAATCCCCTCCCTTGTAAGTTTCCTCAGTCATCCAGTTATCGCAATCGGCACACTCTGTCTTGTTAGAGGTACTTTGCTGCTGGGGGGCAGCAGCCTCCGTAGACTTGGTTCTTGTAGCTTCCATAGTAGTAGCTTCCGTAGCCGGCTGCTGCTGCTGCTGCTGCTGCTGCTGCTGCTGCTGTTGTTGCTTCTTGGAATAATCCCGATCAACATGCCCCAGATTTCTCTCCGGTTGAATCACGTCTCTCACCCTCCTCTTGAGCTCCTTGGTTTCGGGGAAGCCGCCGTCTGTTTTGCGATCCCAGATTGTCTTTTGCTGTATTTCGGGAGTGGTGAAAGCTTGGCTGTCCAAAGTGGTGGTGGCGGTGGTAGCAGCAGCGGCAGCGGCGTAAGTGATGTCGACGATAAAAGTGCCGCCTGTTGAGGGCTGGAGAGCGACCTCGCCGAGAGAGGTGGAAAAGGTTGAGAGGAGTTCTTGGGCGTACTGTGTTTGAGCAGGGGAGTTAGAATTCATGGAGATATGCCTGAGGTTCATGTGGTTCATGTGTATTTGACGGGAATGCGGTGGATGAATGTGTGGATGATGAATGGTATAGGTGAAGTGGGAGGGTGAGGCGGGGGTTAGGGAATTCAGAAACCCTCTTCCGAGACGGTGAATAGATGACAGTGGCGAGACTCGAAGCGTCTGAAAAGTACGTTGATATCTTCAGGAAACTTTCTACTCACATATGCTGCCCTAAGCATCCACTTGCACTGCGTACAAAAGCGGATGGTGACACGAGGAAGTAAAGTTGGAGTCGAGGCACTGGTAGTAGTAGGAGTTTGGTCCATCATCGTTGTGTGTACTGGGAAATGCTATGTCAAGAATGAGAGTAATGTACATGTATATATATTCGCGTAGATGGAGGCCTCTCGATTGTTATGGACTTTGCGTGTTTTTCTCACTCTGGTCGGTTTTGGGTGGCGGCGTGTAAGTGGGAGTTCATGTGATTTGAAGGAAAGTCCACACGAGAAACGGCTAAATCCTGGAGCTGTACTCAGCTCCATAGATGGGTTCCGCACCCCGAATCGCCTGTGCGTCATCACGCCTCCGAACTACACATGAGTTCATCAACAACCAGAGCGAGATCCCCAAATGGATTACTATCTTGTGAGGATTTGCCAAGCGTCAAGTGCACTAATAGAGACATTTTTCAATGTCTATTTCTCGACCCAACTGCAGCAATCCATCACATAGGATATCAAATTCCGTTGATGAGGAAACTGGAGCTATTTTGATGCATTCATTCAAATATCATCAGTTTGAGTAGAATCGATAGTCTAGTGCATTTCATTTGCCTCACTTATCATGTCGTAAGCCCCTTCCTTTCCAGACCCAGAAGAGGAAGCCGCGCGAAAAGCGCTTCATGAAGCAGGATATACACATGTAAAAGACAAAAAAGGGAATCGAGAAGGCCGAGTATAAAAGAGTACAACCGGGGAATAAGAAGCGAAAAAAGAAGGAAAAAAAATATAGAAAAATAAAAAGGTATTACATGCTGAAGAGTCTGCCGAGCCTGCCTGCCGTAGATCCGAAGTAACGGATGGGGGTATTTGAATAAGCATTATGGTCAGGCCAGCCGTCGTGTCTTCACTCCTCAAAACCTTTCTCCCCGGTTTGACGTATCGTGATAATGGCGGCGACAAGGACGAACTGAAAAAATGTCGACCTCTTTCCCTCCCGATGATGGACATCTGATCGCTCATAATCTCCGATAACGTTCTCGGCCTTCCAAACCAACTCCGTCCGGATCCAATCCCGCTTGCAAACGACGGTGTCCGCCCCTCCAAAAGACTTTCGTAGGAATCGCTGTTTCGAAAAGCTGAACTGATCGCCCGTGCTAAACAGAGTGACTCGAATGTCCTCCCCTTTTGTCGCCACATTGATGTCGTAGCTTTTCGCAGTTGGCAATTTACATGACGACGCAGCACCCGCTGCTCTGTTGTGGCAAATACGGGTCTTCGGACTTGGGCACCGGCCCCCAAACACTTGGTACCATGTAGTCTCGTGTGCTGTTGCAGTAGGTGATTATGCTATATAGAGAAAAAGAAACGACTGTCAGCCTCATTGAACCGCGACCGGCACATGTTGCCGAACGACCCGAGCAACAACGAATGTCAGTTCTCACCTCTTGGCTGCCTGGCTAACCGGAATCCTCTCCCTTTCCAAGTCCTCACGTAGTCGGTTATTGAGTTCGGTCAATCGACGGAGTTTTAGATCGGCCATGCTTTGCTTGTTCTTCTTGATTTGCGACGGGTCGCCGACATCGCGAGAGGCGTACTGAGGCATTTTGGCTGATATTATCGAAGCCTCGACTCCAGGGTAGGAATTAAAGGAGTGTTGGAGTGTCGTCGGGGACGTGGGCGACAATGGTGCTGCGACAAAAGCCGACAACTAGTTCGGACAGGCTTGGTAGTGAGGAAGGGTCGCAAGTAGAATTCGGGGTCGGTGGCGCTGTGGATCTTTAACGATAGGAATTAAGCTGTTTAGACATGCCGTGTCAGCCGTGTTGTTCAGATGTCGTCGTCAATCGCCATTCATTCACTCCAGTCGGTGGTCGGGGTCGCGCTGATGCTTGCTCGTTGTCGGGGGGACGAAATGGAGAAATAGTTGAAGTTCGGGCTCCTCCCCCGGCGGTCCTCTGTCCTTGCTACTGACGGCTGGCGATTAGGCGGCCACGAATGGGACGGACGGAGGTGCCAAACGTGAAAATGAAGGGCGACGGCCGCGATGGAGCATGTGGAAAAATTGCGGCAAGCAGATGGAACGATCGGAAATCGCGAATACATACCGGATACTCTTGGTAAAGGGTAACCTCCTGGCACGCAACGGGGAAAAGGTGATGTCGACAGTCGATAGTTGGGTTAAGCGAAGGGTCGGAGAAGGCGCAAATGGATCATTGACTGTCCCGAGTATTGAAGAGAGGGAGGAATTGCGGACAACGATGCCAGGAATGCTTAGGACCGACACACGATTGACGATTCCTAATAGCAAGTCTTGGGAAGAGAAGGGGCGCCCATATGGAAGTTCCTTCATTCCTTCAGTGCCACTGGCGGGCCCCGGACCGCGACGGGGGTCAGTGCGCAGCCTGTAGAACCAGTAGCAGCGCAGCAGGGAACGGTTCGGTAGGCGGGAGCAGTCCGTGCAATTCCCCAGCAGGCATGGACGCCCCAGTTTCCCCCTGCTTGGCCTGCTGCAGTGCTGCGCTTTTACCTGCACTTGCACTGCTGCAATGCTGGTCGCTTCGGTGCTGCACTCCTCTTCCGGGCAGCCAAAGCAACCCAGGGCGACGAGGAAAAAAAAGGGCCAAGTGCAAATGAGACGGACCAGGGGGTCGCTTAGCAAGGTTTGGTTAGATTAACTCGACACTAACTACGACCGTAGACGGAATGGGTGCAGGCGAGTTAGTATCAAGACAAGATAGCAAGTATCACCACGAGCTCCGCATTCAGGATGAGGTGCCGGCCTCCCTATTGTCCTGCCCCATCCGTGCCATTGTGATTGACATTGTTGCAAGCTTCTGGAAGCGGGACTGGAGGTCAAGATCTAGGAAAAGAAAAGGAAGATGGAGGCCGTTGAAGATGGACTGCTGCCACCGCCGCTGGATAGGCAGGGACAGGACTAGTCCGACCAACCGACGGGACCTTTTTGGGATCTGTCGGTGCTGCTGTGCATGAAAGCTGCAGCAAGAATGGCAAATGCAGGGCAGTCTGAACACGACGGGTTCCGCCCCCACTTTATCGTCCCCCCTTTGATGGTCTAGCGGAACCACCCCGGCTCAGCAGGCATCTCCGGACGGGATTGGGAATGGCGCCATTGGGTGGGTGCCCACTTGCTCCGACCGATGATGGACGCGAGCTTGAACGCTCAGGGTGGGACGACGAGGGTACAGAGGAGAGCCTCCTGTTTCTGCATGTATGTACTATGTATGTAATTACAGACCGTGAAGTCCTATGCAGTTGCTGGTGTGCATTCAGCTACAGGAGAAGAGTTTGCAGCCACTCTAGCAGTTCAAGCAGCGATATCATGTGCCTTTTAGGAGGATATATGTTCTTACTGGGGATTACCTTCTCAATGCTCGACCGAAGTTCACCACGATTCTGTTCCAGGTTCCAACTAAGCCTCAAGTGCAATTTCGTCGATGACAGCCGTAGGAAAGCTTGGCAAGACCGCCGACGGTCCGTCATCGGTCAAGGCGGGGGTCCGTGGCCCGGCAGAGAAGAACGTCGCCAGCGGGCTGGGAACTCGGGCACAAACAAAGAACAAAAGCCGCTGTGCACACACACCATGGAGCTCCTTTCTAGTGTAGGTAGTGTAGTGTACACTGGGCAGCACCAGACGCCAAGATGGCAGAACATCCCACTTGCCCTTTGCGACAATCCAACCTTTTTACCATTGTGCAGAATAGCCTCACAGCAGATCACGGTTAAGATCAAGAAAACAATTGCATCTCAGTCAATCCCAATTGCTACAGCAGTGACCAAACATCCAATCGCACAACAACTTGCACTTCACGCCTCTGAAGTTGTTGTCGCAGCGACGTGCTCGATAAGCTGCATCACGTGACTGTCCCGCATCATCCCAGCCCACAAAGTGCTCCTCAGCAAAATCGAGCCTCTAGCCTTGGCCAGGGCTTTTTTTGGCTAGCAACGAACTGAACTTCTCCACGAGGCGAAAAAATCGTCCTGGACAGCGCAGCCTCAGCCAAAGTCTCCAGCATTTCTACGTGCTGCTTTGCGCGCCGCGTCCCCTATCACCACTTTATCCATATCTCCTCTAGATTAGCCAAGTGCCGAGGAGTTGCCCATCATGGTGAGTTGGGAATACAGCCTAGCCTTATGGTTATGGCTTCGAGTTCATATTATCTTCTGCCCCTCCTTTGACTGGAAAGCCAACTCCATCGTCACCTACCTCATCACCGCCCACCCTGCCCTCCACCCCCCCCTTCAACCCTCGACCACCCCCGCTCTCCGCCTGTCCCGCTCACCACCAAGTGTCGTCGTGTGTTGTGACCCGTGGTGACCGTTACTGATCATCAACAGCCTCCCCCACCTCACCAAAAGCCTGAGAATGTTCTCAAGCGCGCCCACGAGCTCATCGGGGTCAACCAGGCCCCCGCCGCCCTGACCCTGCTCCACGAGCACATCACCTCGAAGCGCTCCCGCAATGTCCCCATCGCCTCCCTGGAGCCCGTCATGCTCCTACTCGTCGAGCTCTCCGTCGAGCAGAAGAAGGGCAAGCTCGCCAAGGACGCCCTCTATCAGTACAAGAACATCGCCCAGAACACCAACGTCGCCACCATCGAGTTGGTTCTCAAGAAGTTCATCGAGCTCGCCGCCGAGAAGGTCACTGCTGCCCAGGCCAAGGCCGACGAGGTCCAGTCCAGCATCGAGGCCACCACCTCCAACATCGACGATCTCGAGGCCAGCGAGACCCCCGAGTCCATCCTGCTCGCTACCGTTTCCGGTGAGCAGTCTCGCGACCGCACCGACCGCGCTATCGTCACTCCTTGGCTGAAGTTCCTTTGGGAGGCTTACCGCACTGTTCTTGACATTCTCAGGAACAATGCCCGCCTCGAGGTTCTCTACCAGAGCACTGCTATGCAGGCTTTCGACTTCTGCCTCAAGTACACCCGCAAGACCGAGTTCCGCCGCCTCTGCGAGCTTCTCCGCAACCATGTCCAGACCGCCGCCAAGTACTCGGCCCAGATGCACGCCATCAACCTGAACGACCCCGATACTCTTCAGCGTCACCTTGAGACCCGTTTCCAGCAGCTCAACGTCGCCGTCGAGCTCGAGCTCTGGCAGGAGGCTTTCCGCAGTGTTGAGGATATCCACACCCTCCTCAGCCTCAGCAAGCGCCCCGCCAAGAACGTCATGATGGCCAACTACTACGAGAAGCTCACCCGTATCTTCCTTGTCGGCGAGAACTACCTCTTCCACGCCGCTGCTTGGGCTCGTTACTACAACCTCTTGCGCCAGTCTGCTGCTCTCATTGCTTCTGGCCACAGCAAGAAGGCTGATAACCCGGCTTGCAGCGATGCTGACCTCCAGAGGGCTGCCACCTTTGTCATTCTCTCCGCCCTCTCCATTCCCGTCATCAGCACCTCGCGCTCTCGCGGTGCCATGGTGGACTTCGATGAGGCCCGCAAGAACAAGAACTCTCGTTTGACCCACCTGCTCGGCATGGCCCAGGCCCCTACCCGTGCTGGTCTCTTCCGCGACGCCCTTTCCAAGTCGCTCCTCCGCCGCGCCCAGCCCCAGATTCGCGATCTTTACAACATCCTCGAGGTCGACTTCCATCCTCTTTCCATTTGCCAGAAGATTTCCCCCATTCTTGCGGAGATTGGCGCCGATGCCGAGATGCAGAAGTACATCCTTCCTCTTCAGCAGGTCATTCTCACCCGCCTGTTCCAGCAGCTTTCGCAGGTGTATGAGACTGTCGACCTTGAGTTCGTCGAGAGCTTGGCTCAATTCCCCGAGCCTTTCCAGGTCACTCGCGGCACCATTGAAAAGTTCATTATGAACGGCAACAAGAAGGGCGATCTCGCCATCCGCATGGACCACGCCACTGGCGTTCTTAGCTTCGACGCTGATGTCTTCTCTTCCGCCAAGGCTGTCCACGCCGGTTCCTCTGCCGGCTCTGCCGAGAGCGAGACTGGCTCTGTACAGCGTCTCCAGAGCACTCCCTCCCAGATTGTGCGCTCTCAGCTCACTCGCCTCGCTGAGGCTCTTTACACCACCTGCCGCTATATCGATCCTAGCTTTAACGAGGCTCGCATCAAGGCTCGTGATGAGGCCCTTGCTCGCGCTAAGGCTGGAGCCGAGAAGGAGCACCAGGAGGTCCTTGCTCGCAAGGAGATCATCCAGACGCGCAAGGATAAGGCTTCTGAGGCTCAGGCCCAGAAGGAGAAGGAGAAGGCCCGCAAGAAGCTGCTCCAGGAGCAGGCCCTCCAACAGGCCGAGGCCGCCCGTCTTGCCGAGGAGCAGAAGCTCCGCGAGGCGAAGCGTCTTGCCAACGAGCGCGAGCAAATCAAGAGGAAGGAAGTTGAGGCCCTGCTCAAGGACATGAAGCTCGAAGAACTCCAGGGTGAGGACATTGAGACCCTTGACAGCAACAAGATCCGCATGATCAAGCTCCAGCAACTCGAGCGTGAGAAGAACAGCGTCGCCGAGAAGCTCCGGATCACCGGCAAGCGTCTTGATCATCTCGAGCGTGCCTTCAGAAAGGAGGAGGCTAAGAAGCTCCCCGAAGACTACGCCAAGCAGCGCGAGCGCGATCTCGCTGCCTACGAGCGTACCAAGGCACAGACTCTCAAGGAGGCTGAGCTTAAGCACAAGGCTGATGTTGAGCTTAAGCACCGTCTCACTCGCCTCATGCCCTTCTACGAGTCCTTCAGGTCTGACCTGCACGAGCGTCGCCGTGATGAGTTCGAGAAGCGCCGTCGTGATGCCGAGCGTGAGATGGAGAAGCAGATCAACGCCCGCCGCAAGGAGGCCCGCGAGAAGAGGATCCGCGAGAAGCGCGAGCGTGAGGAGCGTGAGCGTCAACTCCGCGAGGCCGAGGAGCGCGCCGCCAGGGAGAAGGAGGAAGAGAGGAAGCGTCTGGAGGCTCGCCGGGAGGAGCTCCAGCGTCTCAAGGAGGAGAAGGAGAAGGAGCGTGAGAAGTTGCGCGAGATTGCTGCTCGCCAGCAACAGCGCGAGGAGGAGGCCATGGCCAGGCGCAAGGCCGAGAAGGAGAAGCTTGCCGCGACCCCTTCTGCTTACAGACCCCCCGCGGCTGCGGAGCGTACCGAGGCTGCTGCTCCTCCCCGCATTGCCCTCGCTGGCAACCGCCCCAGCTGGAGAGAGCGCGAGGCCGCCAAGGCCGCCTCTGGAGAGACCGCCGCTCCCGCACCTGCTGCCGCCGAGCCCGTTGCCGAAAGACCCCGTGCCGCTGCCCCCCCTGCGGAGAGGACAGAAGCTGCTGCTCCTCCCCGCCTGGCCCTTGCCGGCAACCGCCCCAGCTGGCGTGAGAGAGAGGCTGCCAAGGCCGCCTCCGGAGATGGTAATTCTGCGGCCGTCCCCGAGAGGAGCGCTCCTCCTCTCAGGGCTGCCGCCCCTCAGAGAGCTGGATCCGGTCGTCCTGAGAATGATAAGGACGTCCCTCCTGCGGAGCCCTTGAAGGCGAGCGGTGCTCCCGGCAAGTACGTTCCCAAGTGGAGACGTGAGGGTGCTTAAGAGCACTTGTTCTCATGGGAGTTTAAGGGTTGTTCGCGCTCCCTTTTTTACGAGGTTCATGTAAATTAGTATCACGTAATATGGGGAGCACCTCTTGCAGTATAGACTGGATCAAAAGTGGTTGTGCGTTTTTCTTCACGTTTATCATTCATTCATTCAAATGGTCCCAGTCCTCCCAGACGTTGATGGTTAATAATGGTCATAACAAGTCCCAAAAGCTGTTTACGACTTCTTCATGCGGCGACCGCTTTCACAGTACTTGATCAACCTCTTTATGTTCCGTGTAACGTCTTGTAGCGTACCTTTGTAATTCAGTGACAATTTGACCAAAGATCCGAGGGCTTGGTTTCGGGGTAATTCGAAATTACGTTGCAATATTAAAGGACGAGTTACTCTCCGTCCACCGTCGCAGCTCCACTGATCAAGATGAGGACGGGGCAGCGATCGACCCCCAAACCCCGTCGCTTGGGAACACCCCGGTCGACGATCACTACCTTCATCACGGTGACAAAGACACAAAGTCTTCAACAAAGCTTTTCGTTTTTCTTCTCCCAATTTCAAGGAAAACTGTTCCATCGGCTCTGTTTCACACTCCCCGGTACTACACTATCTGACGTGCTAAGCTACCCCCTGAGTTTGTCGCATCAGCCTCCTTCCAAACATCCCGCCATCGCATCGTGTTTTCCGGCTGTCGCGTCATCTTCCGTCGTTGTCGCACCTCGCCGTTGTCAATATTGCACTTTTGATATTGCTCAAGGGGTTTCTTTGACGTTTCGCAATGCTTGCTGTGACGGTGACCGGGAGAACTGAAAGGGAGAGCCGGGGAGGTGAAGTTGGGACATAGGACATGGCTGGACATGTCGATAGGTAGGTATTTGTGTATGTATATCATATATCACGTGTCGTGAGGAACTCCATGTTACCAGAGTTTCTCGCGCCTTACTGTGCTACCTATTCTGAGAGGCTGGTCATGCTCACCCTCGTATGCAGTGAGGCGGCTGCTCCGCACTCACAAATACTTCACACATTCGGCACCCTACAACACGAGGTTGTGGCTAATCAAACTTTCCGACGTTTGTTTTCTAGCGCGAACTACCTTGTTAACGGCCCTGTTATATGGGCCAAACTTGTGATTGATCAAATTCGGGCAAGCAATATCTGGATTTGAATTGTATAATGTCTGCTTTGGGACAAATGGTTACCGTTGTGGAAATTCGAAGGAATCTTCATGTGCCACAAATGACCACAAAAACAAAAACACAAGAAAAAAAGAAGATATTTGGACATGAGTGATTATGAAGGAAAGAGTCGGCAGACTTACTTGGGTCGTTACTGCATAGGTACAGGGTGCCAGATTGACATTTAACATCGAGACATGGTGGGGTTTCTGGTCTTATTGTTTGGGTTTTATGCTTCTTCTTCGATTTCTCCCGAGAGAAGTATGAAGAGAGGCGCAATACTATTTAATGTATGTCTCAACATCAGTACACCTCCCGCTCTCGTGACAATAGCTTGGGTTAGTTTTGCTACAACCAGTAGTAGTAGTAGTTCTTCCGGAATTACGAGACATCCGCGAAAGAACGTATAGCCTCGTCACGATACTTGGATTTTTTCCACTCCAGGTCGATGCATCCTTTTTCGAGGGCAAACCGAGCCGTGTGCGAGAATTCTCCAGCCCAGCAGGTGATGATGGGCACAGCCTTATTTTCATGAGGTCTGCTCTTGGTCCCTTGGCCCCATCGAACAGGTGCAGATGTTCAGATTGAATAATATATGTAGTTGTCAGGCTGCTGAAGCAGACCTCGAAACCATCGTGATTACCGTACTGTAGTTCCCGTTCACGGGAGAGGTAAACATGTAATGGTAGCTTGGGCATTGAGATGTCTCCAAGCTTAAAGCCGTAATATGGCGAGATCAGGACATCATTGATGGTATATGGTTGGCTTTTTCTTCCTTTCTTCCAATGATCATTGCGTGATATTTCTTAAACGTCGTAGCTGTTGATGGCCCCTGGACTATATTAATAGCTGGAACTCATTATCCATACAAAAATAAAGATGAGAATGCGAAGTTGAAGATGGCAATGAAGAAAGTTGAAAAGTAAGAATCGCGTAACGCCGTGAGACTGATATCATCTAGCCTTGAAGGCATTGAAGGAGACGGAGAGAGGTATAAAGGATATACATTGAAGGCTTCTGTGGCGCTACGAACCCTTGTCATTGTCCTATGTTGCTTTGAACGGAGGATGATTTTTCTCGTGGGGGGGCAATAATTTGAAGAGCTTCAAAACTTCCCTCTTCAACCCATCATCGAACTGAACTGACCAAACAAACCAACTTCGTATTGTAGATGGACCGCATGCAGGTACCCGTTCCCTATGACAGCAAGATATTGGGGCAGGACGTTCATCCAAAACCCTTATCAGTTATTGCAGCTCCTCCTCCTCAGCTCCCCTACAATAACATCATGACTTTCTCCTTTCGTACAAAATCACATTGAAGTTGTAGAAGTATGACCTAGACCTCTCGATAGAAACTTGCAAGTCTTCAATAATCCTACCTCTACAACGGAGAGCCGGAAAGCATCAGACCGGATCAGATCAGATCACGTCCCGTCCCGTCTTCCCCTGTTCCCGTTCTCAGCTGAAGTGAAGCCGGAAGGTGATGGTTGCCTGAAATGAACATGAATGACATCTAAGGTCCCAAATGTAGAAAAGGGAACGATTTACACATTGAGATTACGTGCCGGAATCCACGAAAACAAAACATCGCCCCCTATGAGGTGAAAGTGTGATGGGTCAACGCCATGGGCTTACACCGAGTTCAACACGAGGGCTTCATTATACATATATCGGAACGACGCTTCATTTCCAGCAACCTCGGACCTGTTTCCTCAGCCTAGTCACTTAGCCATTGTCTTACTACAACGCCATGACGTTGAAGTCTCTCTCCTACACATTGAAAACTCAGTGAGCTCCAGTCCCTTCGACTTTTCTATTCAGCTTACTACCTTCATATATTGTGATGGGGTACTCAGCTGTTTAATGGCCCATCATCCAAGTCCCCATTCCACTAAGTTGCGGGTAGGTACCTTGACAGGAAAAGTATGTAGTAGAGTTTTGCCGAGAACATGAAATTGGATATCACTGTTCTTTCCATATTTGGGTCCGAAAGGCTTCGGTGACCGGATGTCCAACGTGATGTGGCGTTGTTGTGTTAATTGCAGACTGGACGCCGGTGAGCTCAATACACCATCTGCTTCTGAGAAATTTGTAGAATGTATACCGCATTGACTTCTTCGCACCATGACCGCTTCAGTGCCATGATTCTCATATAAGACAACCTGCTTCTTGCTGCTCAGCATCTGAACTTCTTCCCCCAGCAGCACTCCAACCATCCCAAGGGGTTCTCACGGTATTCAAATCGTCACCACCATGGCTTCGCTCACCCTCCGAGCTGCAGCACTAGCAGCCATCGCCCTAGTTCACGTTGGTGTCCGCGCAACAACCATCGAACTCCCTCCCTGCCTTGACCCCTTCCAGCCCTTCATATACTCCGGCTGCTACGCCGACACCGGCAACCCTCACGCCCTCAGCCTGCGCAGCCAGCTCGACCAGCAGGACATGACCATCGAAAAATGCGTCTCCGTCTGCAAGGGTAACGGCTTTCGTTACGCAGGTCTAGAGTACTACGGCGTGTGCTACTGCGGCAACACCGTCAACGGCCAGCAGATTGACGAGGAGCAGTGCAACTACCCTTGCACCGGCAACTCCTCGCAGGTCTGTGGAGGCACTGATATCATATCCGTCTACCAGGATCCCACTTTCTTGCCGGTTGATGAGGTCACGGTTGCGGATTATGACCATTTGGGATGTTGGACTGATGATTCCGAGTACGGAAGGGCGCTGGCTTATCCCCAGGATCAGCTTGATGGGTCTACCTTGACGACGGAGAAGTGCTTGCAAGCTTGTCGGGATGGGGGGTATCCGTTTGCCGGGACTGAGTTTGGCGGTAAGTAGCAACTTGTTACTTGATGTCGTGTGAATGAGAGCACTGGATGCTGACTTCCTAATCCACCCCTAGGCGAGTGTTGGTGCGGTGTTGTCATAGGCAATGGGACCTTCTCCGCCCCTGATAGCGAGTGCGATATCCCTTGCAACGGAAACTCCACGCAGATTTGCGGCGGACGTGCTCGTCTCAACCTCTACGTCGCCAACGAGCTTCAGTCACTCGAACCTTGTGGCTACGTGCCGCCTCCCCCAGAAAGTAGTAGCAGCTCTTCCGTCACAGCATCCTCATCAACAACTCCAGTTGCTTCTTCGCAATCTACCTCCGACATAACCAGCTCGACGGCGACGACTTCTGACATACCCTCTTCTACTACTACTTCTTATACCCTCGGCTCAACTACCACCACTTCCACCACTTCCATCACTTCCACCACCCTAGCCACCACCACTTCGCCACCCCCTACCACTACCTTAACAACTGCGTCCACCACCATCACCACCTCCTCCTCCATCTGCAAAGAAACAGTCACCCTCCCGCCCACCTGCGAGTACAAGTGCGGCAAATGGTGTTCCTCCCCTTTGCCGGACTGGGACTCCCCCCAGTCCTGCTTCCCCAGCCACGCCAACTGCTTCCTCCAAGTATCCGCCTGTTTCAAGCAAGCCGGATGGCCGGGGGCGCTCGACTGCTTCGGTTTTGCCGAGTGGTGCTCAGCCCTGAGCACCTACTGCAAGGGATCAAGCAAACCGGGGGGCATCTGCTCCAAGAAGGATTTCTGGAATCACAAGCCGCCTTCGTCGCCCTCCCTTGGCGGACCTGGTGTTCCGACAACGACGGTGATTACGGTTCCTTGTCTGCCTGTTAGCACTGGCAAGCCGACATCTACTTCCATTCCAACGTCCACCAAAGCGGCCACGTTCACAACCACCACCACCACCTCCACCACCGGCACCAAATGCCCAATCCCAACATCCACCTCCCTCTGCAACCCTCCCAAAAGCAACAAACCCCCCGTAGGCGGGATCCCTCTCCCCGTGGTAACCTGCAACGACCTTCTCTCCTCTTTCTCGTCCGGTCACCCCTTCAAGCTGTACACGGACTCGGACTCGAGCAAGTGCAAGTCATACGCTCGCTCGTCGTTCTCGACAGCCTGTCTGGATGCGTGCCAGGAGCAGTACGATGATTGTGTGGATGTGTACGCCAAGGGGTGCAAGGAAGGAAAGTACGGCAAGGATGATTCGACCTCGTACGCGGGGGCGGTGCTGAAGTGTAAGGAGCAGTATGCGGATTGTAAGTTGGCGAATTGGGGGAAGAATGCGGGAGCGAAGTGTAAGGTTTGGGGGACGGGGCCTTGGTGAGGTGCTGAGCCGTGTGTGGTGCTGGGATGCAGAAAGAAAGGAAGGGAAGCTTGGGAGAGCTAGTGTTCATAAGGATGTTCCTGGACATGCGTGGTGATAGGGATGGCGGTAGGCTTGACACGGACGTTGTTCTTCGATTCTCAAGTTGATAATTTCGTATGAGTGTTATACTCTATATCTTTTCTGTATAATTGACGTATATAATTGATTTAAATTTTTGCTATCGCTATAGAATAGCAACTGGAAATCTAAGCAGATATCAGCATAAGAAGTGCGGCGGAAACAAGGCTCTTGATACCTCATATGCCCAGGCCTGTTGAACAATAGCACGAACGTACAGGACAATGACTGATCAGACGCACGTGAAGTTTTGAAGGGCCCTTTATTCAACTCGAGGAGCACATTGCGCTCTTCTTGTTGCCCTTTGGATCGAGTCCAACCGTCCCAAAATGATCAAATATGGTGTATAAAATTTCAACCTGAACGCCCTCGCTAATGCAATTTTGTGTATTTTCTGACCAAAGACTGGGTCGCCCCTATTACCCCTGACGGGTCTTGTAGGTTTCCGTTTACTGCAGGAGCTCCTCGCAGGTCCAGTCCTCGTAGCTACGTAGGAATGTTAGCGAGTATTCGGCTAGGTGCTGGAAAAAGGATAACTTACTATCCATCAGGCATGTAACGACGGACAATCAGAGGAATCTTCTTCTCGCGCAGCTCCTTGATAGCAATTTGAAGAGGATCCGTCTCGCCCTCGAGATCAACCAGCACTGGCGCGTTCATGCTACAAAGGTGGTTCCTTGTCAGCCCAAATTCGTCCCTACAGTCGTCCAAGCGCCACCGATGAGGAAACCCACCTGATTTGCAGAGCACGTGTGCCGAGAATACGAGCTTTCTCGTACTTGGTCATGTAAGGTGTCGTGGAACGCTGGTCGTTGGGAATCTTCTTGTCCTTGTGGGATTTCTCGTTGCCCTTGCCAGCATTGGCGGCCGCGCTAGGGTCACCCGAAGTGACTATGTTGTTGTCGTTTTCGGCCTCGTCGACTTCGTCGCCGGGTCTGCCCGCTACGTCGTCGTCCGCGGGCTCGGGTTCGGGCTCGTAGTACTCATCCGGGTCCTCGTCGAAGGCGGGCTCGTCGCTGGCGGCTACGTGTTAGCATCTCTTGCGCTACGCATGAGTTGCGGTATCATATGTAGAGGTTGATGCCAAGGACTAGGTGAGTAGGTGGCGTTGGAAACCTACATGGGCTCGCGATCATCGTCACCGTGGTCACCGTAGTCGGACATTTTTGGTGGGTTTGTTTGGGAGTTGATTGATGTTAAGGATGATGAGATATAGGCTGCAGCTGCACAAGTAGAGGTATGTGGGCAAAATGGGATTGCCCAAGACGCGTGGATGTGGAAGACTGGACGTGTTTGGCCGACCGTGGATGCGCAAGGTGGTGAGGGAAGGCCGAAGGGCTGACAAAAGGACGACAGAAAATTCGAGTGGGGCCGCTAGTTTATGCAAGGCTGAGCCGCGCCAAGACATGGAACATGAAGAGACATGGGGGGTGGGGCCAATCGATGGGCCATCAGCTTCTTCATGGGTTCCTCCCTCCAGGTCCCCCGAATTTCACGAGGCGGGTTATATCTAGACTACCCCCTCTCCCTATATCTAGACTACTTAACCGCTTAGGGCATGGTTCTGAGGCATTTGACCTGTCTCCCCAATCGCTAACATTCTACCGCGAGAATAAGGCCAAAGTCTGTTAGCCTATAATCGGTCATTTTCGAAAGTTCCTCCAAAAAATAGTTGGTCACTTTAGTCAGGGCATTGCACCTTCACCAGATGCATTTCCCCCCAAAAAGAGCGGGTTAAGCCCGGACTCCGAATTCCCGTCTGAATGAGTTTCTTTATTACTATCTATAGTAAGCGAATATTCGGCCGTAGATATTGCTGCAATTTAGGTGCAGCGTCTAGTTTTGGAGTGTGCTTTCCTACCTAAAGATACTAAGGAATTGGAAGTTTCAGCGTAACAGTCAGACGGTCGATTTGCAGACCTGACGAGTACTCAATTTCCTTAGAGTTTGGTTTGCAGTTCCTGCGAGGATTTCTTTTTGTATGGTGGTTAAAAGCTGGGAAGCCTTGCCTGAAGCGGTTAAGTAGTCTAGATATAGGGAGAGGGGGTAGTCTAGATATAACCCGCCTCGAATTTCACTCGCTCGTAAAATTGCCTGCCGGTGCTGGAACCGGAAAACGTCAGATAAACTTTTTGAAGCGGCAGGGACACCCACCCCGGACGAAAAGTCCAATCGGCAGGTGCAATGCAAAGGTTCCGTCACAAATGTGAACCTCCAAAAAATAAAAAAAACCCATCCAAGCGAATTTCCCCAAAAAGCTTGGGGCTCCCTCTCTCCAATGTCGAAGCTCCAACCAAGTCCAGGGTAGCAGGCCACGGCGACCAGTGCTGCTACTCCAGGCCTCAAAATGAAGCGAAAACAGGACGACGAGCGCCCTGATGGCCATGATGGCCCCGACCATGCTCAAGTCCAATCCAAGAAAAGAGCTACTGATTGGGTCCAGCAGCAGGAGAAGGAACTCTCACAAGTAGACCAGCTCGAGGCACCGGCCTTACCCTCGCAATCGCAATCGCCACCTGCTGGTGCAGAGGCGGCAGCTTCTGATGGCAACGGCAACGACAGCCTCGAACTCGACCCCGACTCGGCCTCTGTCGCCTCGGTTGCCAACACCTCCCTTACCCACGCCGACCCGACGACTACGGTAGCAGCAACTAGTATCAACACTACCACGACTCGTGCTTCGCGCCGCTTCCCCTCCGATCTCAAGACCATCAGGTGCACATTCGCCGGTTGCACCAAGACCTTCAACCGCCCTGCTCGTCTTGCTGCCCACCTCCGATCCCACACAAACGATCGCCCGTTCAAGTGCCCCTACGATGACTGCGACAAAGACTACCTCGAGGAGAAGCACCTCTCCCAGCACATCAAGGGATCTCATACCAACGATCGAAAGTACACATGCCCCGAGCCCGGGTGCGGAAAGTCCTTTGTCACTAATACTCGACTTCGCCGCCATGCTCTGGTTCACGAGGGCGCCGATCGCTACCGCTGCCGCGGCTATGGGGACTGTGTTCAGAGCTTCCGCAAGCACCAAACGCTCCAGAGACACATCCGAACCGTCCATCTAGGCAAGTCGGCATATCCATGCGGTAACGACGGGTGCGACGCCGGCTTCGACACTGCAAGTGCCTTGCGAAGGCACGTAGAGCGCGAGCACGGTGACCTGAAGTTTTGGTGCGACGAATGCAACGCTGAAGGAGAGGGTGATGACAATGGAGGTCGCCGTGTTGGATTTACCACGATGCTGCTGCTTCAAGCTCATATGAAGAAGGAGCACAACAACTGCGCCTTTTGCGGTATCAGATGCGGTACACAAAGCAACATGATGCGCCATGTTGAGCTCTACCACTCAGCCAAGACAGTCGAAGATCGAAAGACGATTGCTTGCACGTGGGAGGGCTGTGACAAAAAGTTCACGCGTGTCTCCAATCTCAACACGCACATCAAGTCTGCCCACGAAGGCCATCGTTTCGTCTGCGGACAGACCGATACTTACGATGCCAAGGTTTCGGAGATCGCGGATTGGAACTTCGCGGAAGAGGGTTGTGGCCAGGGATTTACCACCAGGGTCAAGCTGGAGGAGCATGTTCTTCATGTTCATCTTGGGAAGAAGCGTCCACCCAAGCTGTATCCCGTCCCTTCAATGGTCGCCCAGACTCAGCAAGCTCAACAGGCTTTGCTGGACACTCGTGACCTTGCTTGCCCTGCGTACGGATGCACCGCTCGCTTCATTCGTCATGCTGATCTGGACAGACATATCCAAAATGACCATGGCAACAATGGTATCAAAGAAGAGGAGCAACAGCTGCTGCTCCTACCTCAATTGCATACAGGCGAGGAACAGGCAGCTATGGTGCCATTTCCGAGTGCTGCCAACTTGAGCGTTGACGATCTAGGATATGTCATCGATCCTAGTTTAGAACCCCAGCATCAGCAAGGAGATGTCCACTCCGCATTCACCTCAGCTGGCGCTACCCCTCCCCCTCAGATGGAGCAATTCACGAATGCTCCAGTTAGCGATGGCGGAAATCTCGGCGCTGCGCCTTTCTGGCTTAGTGATCATGGAGATCCGTTCTCACTTCAACACCAGTCGCCTGTCTTTGAAGACTGGGCTGCCGACATGCAGCTGTTGATGGGCCAAGATGGTGAGGGTTCGGACCCGCAGTTTGCTAGAGCATAGATGATGCAGTAACACGGGTTAATGGTTCACAATGGGGGAATTGTCGACTGCATGATGTTGCATTGCTGAAAACAAAACGGAAAAGGATGGGAAGGTTCACGGAAATATTGATACCCTTTTGTTATGTGGCTTTGACAGTATGTAGACCGCCTGGAGGAATGGAGATGGCTTACTTGTACGGTTACGGCGTTTGAACGGAATAGACATACAATACCGGTTGTGGTCAACTTACCTTGCTCTCAGCAACATTGTCCTGTTCGCTATCATTCACGAACAAATAGTAGTCTTATCATAACATCTTTTCTTGTCCCTTTGGATGTTTCTCTCACCCTATGATTTCCTTCTTCATGTGTCATTCCAGGACTTCCGCCACACTTAATTTCCCGACACATACTCTGCCCAGAAGAAAAGTTCTCAGCATTATGTGATCAAGCACCACCCCTTTGACTTGAGCAACATGGCTAACAAAAGCAGATATATCAAAAGCAAAATTCGTCTCCTCCACAATCTCTATCCTATCTCACGCGCGTATAATTGCCCTTGCTCTGCTCCATCCTAAGACTCTCCTCCTGACTAGGCAACGGCGCGCGTCTCCTCCCTGATGAATCATATTGATCATTCCCACCATCTGGGTGAGTCGCTCCTCCCGGCGGCCCACCAGCACCAGGAATCAGCGGCGGAGGCGCAAATCCAGGAGGGGGCATAGGGAAGCCCGCCGCGCCCGGCGGGGGGATTAGGCCAGGGGGCAGGATGCCGGGAGGGGGCATCGGTGCGCCAGCCGAGCCTGGCGGCGGCGGCGGTTGATAACCGGCCTTCTTCATCATTTCGGCGAGCGCGCTAAAGTCGGGCGGGTTCTTCAGATCTAAGCCCGGAAGGGGCGGCGGGACGACACCGGCGGGCAGACCGGGCATGCCGTGGATAGGGAAGGGGAGAGGAGGCGGGACACCGGTGGCACCACCAACGCCGGGGATGATGGGTGGTGGCGGTATGAAACCGCTGCCGCCAGGGCCAGAGCTGGGAACCTGCTGGAGAGGAAGGCCGGGAATGCTGGGGAAGGAAAGACCAGGCATCATTCCGCCGCCGCCAACGCCGGGCTGCCCCTTGATGGGCATCTTTTGATCCACCAGGCCGTCCATCTCGTCCTCCAGCTCCTGCTCCTCCTCGACTTGCCGCATGTGACGGCCGCCGCGGCGGTCCCAGGTGCCTTGAGCTTCGGCTGCTGCCTCGCCGATGTGATACCGGTCGTTGAAGGACTCGGGAGCCTCGCCAGGTCTTGCGCGAGACCAGAAACGTGTGATGCGATCGTTGGATCCCGAGGCGAGGATGTGGCCGAGCGGGTGCCAGTCGAGCGACCAGATGGCGAAGTCGTGGGCATAGGGGATCTTGTGGGCTGGGTAGATGGGTTGGGCAGGTGCGGACGAAGGATCGGCGGTGTCGTAAACTGCCGGAATCGGCATGACTGAGCCGTCGGGCGCGGTGTTCGGCTCGTCCAGGAGGTAGTGGAATAGCGAGCCGTCCGAGCCGCCGGTGCTTAGGAGGTTGGAGTGGACTGGGTGCCACGTCAATGTCGATATGTCCTTTTCATGGCCCCTGAGGAGGGCGATGTCTCGCATCATTCGAAGGTCGAACACGCGAGCTGTCTGATCTCTAGCTGATGTTGCCAAACAGTTTCCTTGCACTCTCTCGAAGAGGGTTTTGGTGATGGTGTTTTTGTGCCCATGAAGCGTGGTCAGGCATCTACCCGTCCTTGGATCCCACAGCTTGACCAGATGATCTTTCGAACCAGAGACAATCAGGCCTCTGCTGGGATGCCAATCGCAACTCTTTGCGTCCCATCCATGCCCTGTCAGAGTCATGTCCGTTGAGCCGCCAGCAAAGTCAAAGACTTTGAGTGTTTGATCATCTGAAGCCGTGACAAATTTGGTGTCGTTGGGGCTGAAGGCAAGGTCGCGGATGGGATCAGTATGGCCCCTAATGCTCTCGACATTGTTGAAGTTTGGCTGCCAATATTTGATGATACCGTCATGATCGGCAGAGACGAGCCAGTCGTCGCTGTGCGAATATACTAGAGCACGAATGGCGGAATCGTGGGCCTGCATGATCGTTTCGAAGTTGAATCCTGTGCCGTTCCAGAGCGTAAACTCTCCACTGCTGCTGGCCGTTAACAACCTTCGTCCTTCTGGCGTCCATCGTACCACATTGATGGGGTGCTTGATTTTGTTGAGGGAAGAGTGAAGATGCCTTGATGGTACGGAGTCTGCTGGATTGGTGACTCGGGCGTATGGTGGTAGCATCTGTACCAAGTTTTAGTATCAATGCGGCGGGTTCAGGGCTTGTATTTGTCCTTACATCAACAATATAACTCGGGCTGGGCCTTTCAACTTCACCAGCGTATGATCCCCGGTATCTCGGTTGCCTGTGGCGCATGTAGTGAACTACTGAAGCACCATAGTCGGTGACGGGACCTGAGTCTAGGGTCAGTCTTCGTTGTCCATCGGCGAGTGAAAAGCAGGTGCTATTGAGCTGGGTGAAGAAAAGAATCCCACCGAACAGCCAGAGATGGTGATGTGAGATGATGGCGGTGCTAAGCAGGAACGGGTGAACGAGAAGTGAGGATAAAGTGAGGAGGGCGAGTGTCAACGTGATCGAGTGTGTTGTCGTCGGTAATGTCCAGGCCATGGTCGGCAACAAAAGCTACGCCATCACGGAGCAAACGGATAACTGTTGTCACCTGGGACGCCGTCATGATTGATGGACAGAACATTGTGATGTATAATGCCTGGCGACATGGACTGTGTACACGGTATATTCGCTAGAGGTAGAGTTTGGTCGTATCCGCAGCATGAACTTACGTCTGCCTCTATTTCGGGGTGGGAGGCCATCATGACCTCCTCCCCCTCCATAGCCCTTGTCATGATCTCCCCTGGGCTCGTATGACATGGTAATCAATCGACTGAATTCTGATGCTGACGCGCTTGGATGATAACTTCTGGTCGCGCTTCAGACGATGATTTGTTTCCCCTAAGCGCGTGTAATTTTTCAGAACTCTTGTAAGAATATCTAGATGTGATGTATTAGCGGCATGCTCCACCCTGAACTTTCAAGGACGGATAGACTCACTTCACTTGAAGCGCGGCTTCCTTTTTGTTGGAGTTTGGCTTGGTGGCTTGGTTGAACAGGCTGGGTGGTTAACGATTGATGAGTTGAATGGAAAGTCGGTGGATGGTCCGTGCCCTGGTGGTCTTGTTCAGAAATGCCTGGGTGCAGTCAAACGCGGCCGGCATACTTTAGCGCACGGGCCAAGATTTCCATTTGAGGCTCACAGCGCCCCGAAAGCGCCTACACTACCTCCACCGCCCGGCAACGGCCCGGGCGTGCGATCAGTGGGGATGAATTTGGAGTTTGGACCGCTCGTTCTGATGATGTTCCCGTCGCAACAGAACCTCGAGGAACCACAGCAGGGGCAACGACGCTTCAGGTCAGCGTTGAACGGGCAGTTTGCCCATCCGAGCCCACATTACAAAGAGGCCAATGCCTATGGACACTGAATGAGCGATGCTTGGTACCTCTTCGTAGAGGCATACACAAGGATTTGGTTATTTGGATTCCCTTTTCCATAGCCCCTATTTCTCAGCGCTTTCAAAACCGTGTTCTGGCAGTATCTATGTAGTGCATCAAGGGAAGCTCTTATGACCCTAACCCCAAAGCTTTCCTACCACTACAACAAAGGCTTCTGTTACTGTCCTACTTCTGCCATTTATATATGGATGTTCGAGTGGTTCGTGAGCGCCAACTTGGTAGTGCATGATCCCGGCCCTTGCACCCATCGATGCCCTGTTCGGATCACATGTATCGAGGGAGCTTCGACCTTCAAAAATTTGAGGGCTCCATGGACGGCCTTTCCAGATCCGTTGATCCAGCTGAAGTGGAAGGGGACATCTTAAGTTGTATTCGCGTCCCACTTCTTCAGGTGAGGATGCCCAAACAGGGGCCCATTGCATGGAACTTGAAATCTCGGAGCGTGGAGCTAGAACGATCTCGACAGAGATTTTGTCTTGGGTCGTCGCTTCTGTTCGGGAGCCGAGAGTTACACTACTTACAGAGTTCGAGGACGTTGGACAGCACAGAGGTAGCTCCTGAAAGGTAGCGGTGTCCGTTGATGAAAGAACGATGCTCCATTTCTCCTTCATTTCGGGGATTTTGAGGCCTTCGCGGATACTCCAGGGGCAGTGACAGACAACACCTGGTCCGGGCACCAATTTCGCGTGTTGCTATAGCTACATATCTCTATGTACGCTACAAACTAAGCTTCCAAGACCACCTCTAGCTGCCCTTCTTGTCTCTTGTACAACCTCAACCCAACGGATTCATTCCACACCCTTTCTGCCCTACAAGGTCCCCTTGCATCATGTTATCATACTACCCTCGGCCTCCACCGTGCCATTCCGAGGCTTTGACAGTTTACCTAGTTAAACCTGATCCTTGGGGAAGGGTCCGGCGGCGTGCCCGAACCAAGGTTGACAGCGGCCCGTAGGTAGCTAACTGCGAGCAAGCGCCCAACCCGACTCGGCTTGACCCGGAGATATATACCCTTGCCACCTTCACACTTTATTTGACGAATATTCATCAACAACACCCTCGTTTCTTTCTTCACGATTTGACTCTCGAGAAACATAAAAACTCACAATCCACAAACTTGATAGCTACTTCATTCGTTGCCGGTCTATGCTGGGATAATGAGTAGTCCAACGGCCACGACGACGGGGCTTGACCCCGCTGTCCACACCTCAAACGACAACGTCATCCGTCGGACTCATGGTACAGAAAATGGCAGCACTCCTAATGAGAAGGCCAATGCCGGTGGTGAACCAGAGACGGAGACGAAAAGACACTCGAAAAAGGCAATTCGGAGTAAATATCGCCATGTCGAGGCCGTTCACTCTCAGTCAAGGCCATCCTGTCTGAGCCACGACACAACTGAGAGCCCCAGCTTCCTGGGGTTCCGCAACCTGATGGTCATTGTTTTGGGTAAACATTGGGAATCCTTGCCACGTTTTTGTTACTGAGTTGGCCGAGTGCGCTAACAGTATTCGCAGTTGTCGGTAACCTTCGTTTGATCATTGAGAACATCCAAAAGGTTGGCCATACCATCTCCTGCCTGACTTCGACCGTCTGGCCTATCTGTTTTATTGTACCGGATCGGTATAGCTAACAACTCTCACCAGTACGGCGTCCTAATATGCATCGGCTGCCATGACTTTCGGAAATCCGACATCAACCTCGGTCTGCTGCTGTACTTCCTGATCCCTTGCCACCTTTTCGTCGCCTACATCATCGAGCACTACGCCGCCGTCCAAGCCCGTGCCGAGCGCAATGTGTCCGCCTCCGAGCAGAACGCAAAGGAGCACCAGCACCAAGACGGCACCAATAGCCCAACCGAGGAGCAGCACCGCAAGTTCCAATCCACATGGAAGCTCGTTCGCCTCCTTCACGCCATCAACGTAACTACCGCCCTGGTTCTAACCTCCTACGTGGTCTACTACCACATCTACCACCCTTTGATCGGCACCCTTACGGAAGTGCACGCCATCGTGGTCTGGCTCAAGACAGCCTCGTACGCCTTCACCAACCGCGACCTGAGACACGCGTACCTGCACCCGGCCCGTGGAGAGCTCGACGCCTTGCCAGGACTGTACGCGGAGTGTCCCTATCCGGAGAACATCACGATGGGCAATCTCTGCTACTTCTGGTGGGCTCCCACGCTAGTCTACCAGCCCGTATACCCGCGCACCGCCAAAATCCGGTGGTCGTTCGTGGCCAAGCGATGTGGCGAGGTGATTTGTCTCAGTGTGTTCATCTGGTTCCTTTCGGCGCAATACGCGACGCCGGTGCTGCGCAACTCGCTGGACAAGATTGCTTCGCTTGATATCCCGAGCATTGTGGAGAGGCTGCTGAAGCTGTCGACTATTTCGTTGATTATCTGGCTGGCTGGGTTCTTCGCGCTGTTCCAGAGCTTTTTGAACGCGCTGGCTGAGGTGACCAGGTTTGCGGACCGCTCGTTTTATGATGAGTGGTGGAACAGCGAGAGCTTGGGCGTGTACTGGCGCACGTGGAATAAGCCCGTTTATCAGTACTTCAAGCGCCATGTGTACTCGCCCATGCGGTCGAGGGGGTGGAGTAATGCGACAGCGAGTTTGGCGGTTTTCTTCTTGAGCGCCGTGTTGCATGAGTTGCTTGTTGGTGTGCCTACTCATAACCTTATTGGTATGTTTTTTTTTTCTCTGTTTTTTTCCCCTGGCCATTTCGCAGACAAGCCATATGCAAGAACTGTCATCTAACACGAAAATCACAGGCGTCGCTTTCCTCGGCATGTTCCTCCAACTGCCTCTCATCCAGTTCACCAAGCCTTTGGAGAAGAAAACGTCTCCCAATGGCAAGTTGTTGGGCAACATCATCTTCTGGGTCTCCTTTACCATCTTCGGCCAACCGTTTGCGGCCCTCATGTACTTTTACGCATGGCAGGCCAAGTATGGGAGTGTGAGCAAGATGGCTACTTCGCAGCAGCTTGTTCAGCAAGGGCAGGGGACGTGCCCTCCTCTCGTGTAGTTGTCTGCTCCTGATTATTCTCGACGGTGAAGGAAACATAGATATAGGCTTGATCAACAGGACATTGTAAGGTGAACGTCAGCTGTTCCCTGCAGCTGTATCAGGATTCTAGGTAGACCGATTGCTTTAGCCATGGTGTTCGAGGGCGTTGCAGGAACTACGATAATATTATGTAGTAACGAAGGGGGGATACGTGAACCGTTTGGTTTGATAGGCTTTGTATCTATTCTTTCGAACTGTATACCACGTAAAGCGATTACCACGTAATAGACTATAGCACACAACAGATGAGCTCTGTCAAAGAGCACCACGCCTATATGAGACACCCAACTCAGGGGACAAACGGAATCTTGGTGCCCACCCTCCTTCGATAATCCACATACTCTTGCCCAAAGAACTTGACCAAAAACTCCTCCTCATGCTTGATCCTCGAACTGAAGAACTTCCACAACACCGCCGCGTAAGCCACAAAGCTAACGACGTTGCCCATAGCCATCTGCGTCCCCAACGCCCACCAAAAGAAGCCAAAGTAACTCGGGTGCCTGAACCTGCCGTAGATCCCCGAGGTCACCAGCACGTGCGCCGAGCTTCGCTGGCGCTGCACCAAGTGGTTGAAGCTCGGTCCCGCCTGTACCATGGCCACGCTGCGCATCACCTGGCCGATCACCGTCAGGGCCAGGCCGAGCAAACAGAGCAGCGTACCGGAACCAAACGGCGCCCACGCACGGTTCGGCCAGAAGGTGTTGGTCAGCAGACACTCGAGCGTCGCGAAGCCGTGCGCGATGGCGTAGCCGGGCCAGTTAGCCGTGAGCAGGAAGGACTTGACATCGGCAGCGCGGGTATTGTAGGCGGCTGTGGTCCAGAACTCGAGGAAGTGAAAGGTCGCGAGCGCGGCGAGGAAGAAGGGCAGGCGCCAGAGCGAGCTCGATGTGTAGAGAAGGGTTGCGACGGTTGCGCCGACGCCAATGGTAACAGCGATGCCGAGGCAGAAGGAGCGCGTGGCGATGCCGGCTAGGGACTTGGGCTGGTAGGGAAAGTAGTCTCGGTCGTTGACGAGGTTGAGGTTGGAGTTCGCGCTGGTTGGGCTGTCCGTCGGAAGGGAGAGGTCAGCTTCTGAAAGATGGGTAGCGGCAGCGGTAGCGGTAGCGGCAGTGATGTTGATGTGAGTGGTTTGTCCGCGTGAATGCTGACGGTGGTGGACTGATGGACCGTCACTGCGACCAGTAGCCAAGGGCGCCGACGACGACGGAGACTCAGACATGGTAGGCTAATCTGGTGATGTGGTGCAAAGGAGTCGGCAGAGTAGGCAAGACGGTTATGGCGACAGAGGAAGTGGGAGGTAGCGAAGATGTACACATATCATATGCTGGCGCCCGGGGACGGCAACGTCGCAACAGAGAACAATGGCAAGAAAACCAAACAATAGCATTTAGGGAGACTTACCCCTCTTGCGACCACTGGCGCAAATTGGACGATGTTTCCATTCTTTCCATTCTGAGGCCTGTTAATTGCAGGCTGCCGGGTGCAGAAAGCAGAGGTAGGTACGTATGTATTCGTCGAGCCGGTCGAGATGCGGTCAAGAAAGCGAGTCGCGACGAGATGTTTGTAGTCGTAGATATTGTTGTTGCGCTCCCACGATCTCCTTCGTATTGTCGTCTGACACGCCAACAGAGTGCCCCCCCCTTACCCCGGCAAGCCAAACAGCAACACAGAAAACAAAGAGGCGATGTTGGGTCGAGGATGCAAAGGTGAAATGATATCAGCAACAAATCTCCATCAAGACCTCGATGCAGTTCGTTCCTCCCGGATGTCGTGCCCCGCTTCGAACCGCTAACAGCGTTGCATACAGGGGCCGGGGTGCTGTGAGCAGTACAATGACGCAACCTGGGATCCTAGCAAGCAATTCCGGGCAGTCCCAGCCAGTCCATGGAAAGCGCCTGCCCACTCGTTTACAGAGCCCCTGACGCGCCCGCGAGGTGCCCCTAGAACCCCGTATCGTCCCGGTTCCTGATCGCCATGTCGAAAAAGGGGTCAGTTGGTCGGATGGGTTCCATTTCAAAACATCGGGCACTTCCCTCCCGTCAGCTCGACTGGAGGCTCGGTACCTGGATCAACGGTGGACGTATGCTGAGCACTTCCAGAAAGCACATAGCTTATTGACCTTGCAGAGAAGCCAGACGTTCCACTAAAGACCGCCCTGGATTCTGAAGGACGACAAGATCAAGATGAGCACGTTGACCCAACCCCAGATGAAGGGGATCCACGTCGACATGGAGAATGCGCCCGCTTTGTAAGTGGCTCCCACTACCAGCCCAACGAGACAGCCGGCCAGCAGAGCCTCGGCGCCAGCAACAGCAGCATAGAGCAAAGGGACCAGCCAGAGGAACTTCCAGTTGGATTTCTTCTTGCCGACTTGCATCATGAGGGCAATGCCAGCAGCACCGAGGTGAACGAGGCCATAGATGATAAGGGTCCAGAGAAGAGTGAAGCGCCACATGTCCTCAAGGTCGTAGAGGCTATAGGTGTCACGTTGAGGAGGCCAGTGGAGGGAAGGAAAGGGAGGAGTGACATAGCCAACCGGTTTAACCTTCCGGATGATACTGCAAGTATGGCTGTTAGTGAGATACACCATACTTGTACTGGGGAACTAGTCAAGAGCCGTACGAGCGTGTTTCCATTGCGGATGGTGCCGTTTCCATCGAGCTGCAAAAATTGTAAGCGAAAGATGTAGCCTGGGCAGATGTTGACTATCTCGTGGTGTGATGTCGTCTAGAGGTAGTTGTATCAAGTATTGATTGGTGTAAAGTTTGGAAAGTGGCTGGCTTGGTTGATGGTGATATTGGCTAGTAGCCTGATGTTCTTTGGAGTTTGGCTGCTGCTTGTTGTCGTTAAGTTGGCCGTGTTCCTTGTAAGAAAAGTCCCGTTTGTAACCATTCGTTACTTACTTACAAAAGTGCACATGCCAAGAACAGTGGCTGATTACGTTACAGTACATGACTAGGTAACACCGGACCTCGATATTATGGGGCGTCCCCGTATCATGCATGTGCATGGATGGCAAGAAGAATCAGGTCGGGTTCAGCTGAACGGGGACGGGAATCGAATGGAGCCCCCCAGAGAGCCTCCTCACCCACTGACACTGCACTCCCTACCGTCGTTCCTCCTTACAGTACCTCGGCCCCCGGCAGGAAATAACGACGGTCGCAACCTTCCACTTCCATCAGGTCTTCAATGTTTGTTCTTTGCCAATAGACATGACATGGTTCCACCGTGACAATCATCTCGATTAGTTCCCCTGCCCATCGCTGTCCTTACATACCGCCCCATTAATCTCTAATATCCGACGACGTAATTGACAAACGAAGACTTGCGACGGCGGCGGCGACGACGACGACGACGACGACGAGCAGCACGACGAGAACGGGCGACCCATCCACACGAAGCACGCCATGTCGGTCGAACGACTTCTGACCAATGTTCTTCGGTTATACCAGGACGTCCATGACGATGATCGCACCGAACAGTTATACTCGACCACCACCACGCTGCTGACCCACCTCTCCAACCCGCTCAACATCACCGTCCTCACCTCGCAACTGCTCAATGCGCCAGCAATATGGGAGCGCGGCGATGGCATGAGGGCCTGCTACCGCGTCATCAGTATCTTCAACAGCGCTGCCACCCACGTCCGCAACAAGGAGTTAGAGGCCGCGAAACTTCAAGAGCAAGCCAAACACAAGCAGCCGCCCCAGCCACTTCCACTTCAGACACACCCGGCACTGCATGGCCCGCCCGGGTCGCGAGGGTCACAAGGCCTGCCGCCAGGTTCGAGGGGATCTCAGGCAGGACCGCCGGTGCCACAGGCGCCACGCACAGGTGGTGGATTGTCGTGCGATGACTGGGTATCAGCCGTCCTCAAGGGCGCAGACGACAAGTCCAGCAGGTGGCAGCATCTGCTTGTCTTCTGCGGTGTTCTCCTTGGCATGACAAGTCAGAAAGATCCCAGGAATCGCCATGGCCTGAGCTACTCGATGCGCAATACCGTCGAGCAAGCCTTCGTCACCGCTGTCAACCTTGCCCTCCGCCCCAATGAGCAACCACACGGACAACAACGCGAACCAGAGCCCCCTGCTCCCCCAGGCCCGATAGCGCTGGCCCTCACCTACGCCTTCCCGCTACTTTCAAAGTCCTCTCGCCTCGCCCTGGACTGTGACGCTATCGTGCCCGTTGCTCTGAATGGCATGACTGGCGCAGATGGCTTGCAAGACGGCCTCTTCCTTTGCACTATCGATGGAGATCTCAAGCAATCAGGAAACCACTTTACTTGGCAAGAGAACTCCCCATCGGCTCTTCTTCTTCGCCAGCTTGAGCAAAAGCCGTTGGTCAATGGACTTGGACCTCTGTCAAAGGTCGTTGGATTTGCCATCGAACATGCGCGTGATACCAACGTTGTCTTGCAGGCTCAGAATGATCTGCTCACGTTTACCCAAAAGCTCCTGCACGAATGGGAGGCTAGCAAGCTCTCGGAAATCGAAATCTCCGAGGAGGAAGTATACCTCACCCAAGAGACTCTACAAGGTCCTTGGGTGGCTCTGTGGACGCTCTTGAGGAAGGTCATGTATGGCTCAGTAGCTGTGTTACAGACCATTGTGGCTCGCAGTCTGCTCGATCCTCGGATGAGGAATGATGCCATGGCACCCGTCGTGGCCAGCAAGACCCTCAAGGCCCTCCGCTACCTCTACTTCATCTCGTCTCGGAACGGAAGCGATGCCTTCCAGGTATACACCTTCACGTACCTTACGTCCGTTGACAACCTGGCGAGGTACTCGGACGCCTGTGCCAGCTTTCTACGCGATACGAAGCCACTTAACCCGGGCACCATTCCTCCACATCCCCTTCACAGAACCCTGGACTTGTTCTACCTGAACGTTGCCGAACACCTCCCCCTTAAGCTGACACCCGAGGACTGCGACTCGCTCATTGTGCAACCGGCCATGGCCTACCTGACTCACTCAACCCCCCTCTCGCCACGCATGCTCGAGTTGTTCGAGGCAGCACACAGCGCCGTCCTTTCGGTTCTCTCGTGCCCACACAACGCACCCGTCACCGTAAAGCTCGCCCCTTTCTATGCCGAGGCGCTGTTCTCGGCCTTCCCCACGCACATTTCACCGCGCCAATTCCGCCTGGCCTTCAAGACCTTGATGCAGATCCTTTCCCCCCCGTACCCCATTTCGTCAACCCACCCACAGCTGGCTGAGACACTTTTAGAGATGGTCCGTTTCCGCATAGGTGTCGCAAGCAAGGTGCCATTGCCGCCTCCTGAAACCCACGTCCCATCGGCCACTCCCGAGCTACCCGTGTCTGAACAGAGTACCTTGGTGATGACCTTGATAGATTCTCTGCCGTTCCTCCACCTCCGGATCTTTGAGGATTGGCTAACCCAGGCCGCTCATGCTGTGAACCAGATCGAAGACGTGGCTATGAGGGAGGCTGCCAAGAGACGGTTCTGGGAGATCCTGGTCAGCGGAGAGATGGACGTCGAGAGATCGGCTATTGGTGTTGCATGGTGGGGGACAAAGGGAGGCAGGCAAGCCGTTCTCTATGGATCTCAAGGAGGACTTCCTGACGTGCCCATGATGAGTGGTGCCATTCAGAACAACATGGACCGAGCCAAGCTCTGATTGTCTGTGTCTTGTGTTTTCCTCCTGCATATGGAATAATGACATTTTTCTCTTTACTTCAGTAAAAGGCATGGAAGTTCTCAGTTCTCAAAATAATACGTCGATACCCCCTTCTTTTTGCCATCCAGTAGTCAACTTTCTCGCGTGCCTGCCGCCCCGCCGGCTTACGCGGCTGGCCGTAACACTTTGCTCAAACTGATACGCCTTGTACTCCTTTCTTGCCCGACTTTCTCGCCTGGTCATCGAATTGAACTCTCAGTCGCAGTTGCGTCAATGATGCCGTGGGGCGTGGCACGCCCAGCCTCTTAGTCTAGTATGGCAGCGTCATCAGCAGACTGACCTGAGGGTCCTATCGACTTTCAATGTTGAAGCCATGAGGCTGGATTGATGACCGCTTTGCTTTTGCAAACAACAATGACTTGGTCATGTTCTCATGCGCACCTACGACTATTACAGTGCGTATCTCGCCCGCATAACATATGAGACTCACCGTCCCCCAAAGCGGCCTGTTATATACGGCGGTAGGTAGTACACCGACCGAGCCTTTCATTTCCCTCCCCCCTCACCTTTCTCTGGTCCAATTACGGGATCTACGGAGATGATACAGTCCAAGCATTTGTACCTTCCTACAAGGCGTCCGCGGAACAACCAATTCTGTTTCAGTCTCGCTCTTGTGTTCGTTCTCTCTTTTCCCCTCACCTCACTTGATCGGGGGGATGGTGTCGGACAGTTCTTTGACCAGAACATCGAGGCGAGCGAAGCCATGAGGGAACCACATGGTTTGTTGTTTCTGACCGGTTGTGTGTCCGCGCGTCAACTTGTCTCGGATTTTCCTTGAATAAGACAAGAGGAGAAGAGCGGAAAAGCAAATGGCGGAAGAAAAGGAGATTACGCAGGCATTTGATTATACATAATGACTACTACAGTACACGACAGATACACCTTGCTACCTGGCTACCTCTTTTCATTGGACTTGAGGATGGCGGAAAGGCGGTTGGGACGGGAGAAGGAGAGAAGTGACCGCAAGACCAAAAAGTAAC